CCAGAAAAATGCCCAAGGCATTTCCATCCACATGGAATAGATGAAGGTGTTATGGGCCCGGACATAGGATCTCGTCACGGGTCGGTCCACGGGGAGAACCTCTTGCTTCCCCTTGCGCCTTCCCTTACGTGCAGACCCTATTGTGGAAAACCGAATGGGTGATTTGTCCAAGAGACCACTCGAACTCTCCTCACTCCTCTTACTGGAAAACTGAATGCTTTATTCCAATTCATAGGCTCCTTAAATAGGAGATTACAAGAGGGGGTTCCTTGATGTATTCGGCTAGGCTAGGATAATCCCTCTCTAAATCAAACTCAAACTCCTACTTCTAATGGTAAACAAACTCCTACTTCTAGTGTCAAACAAAACTCTTAAGAACATAAGATAAGATAAGGATAAGGGATAATGTAAGCTGGCGGCGAGTTGGCGAACAGAGCTGTTGTGGCAAGATAAGTGTGGGTCCCCTGATGAGCTGTCGTGTGGGCCCGCTCCTTACTGCTACTGCCTGTGGCGGCGGTAAACCTTCCCCACGAATGCATCCATATCATCACACCCCTCCTGGGCAACGAGCTTGTCCTCAAGCTCGAGATCAGGGTAGGCGTCGTGAAGATCCGACCAGGGGATCCAGGTGGCCTCTGCTGATGGTAGATCGTCCCACTCCACAAGGACCTCGAAAGTACCCCGGTTGATGCAGGATCGGACAAGAGCCCGAGGTTGGAGAATGGGTCTGCCGTCCTTCAAGGGGGGTAGGGGAGGTACTTGATCAGGAGGAGTCCCTGTAAAAGGCTTGAGGAGGGACACGTGGACCGGGGCTGTGAGATCGCATGGAGCATCATATTGTCTTCTTCTTGGCGAGACAAGGCATCTGCGGCGCGGTTCAAAGTTCCCGCCTTGTAGTCCACCCGGAAATCGAACCCAAGAAGCTTGCTGATCCAGTGCTGTTGCGGCGAGGTGGTAAGCCGTTGTTCCAACAAGTATTTGAGGCTGTAGTGGTCCGTCTTGACGATGATGGATCTGCCCCACAAGTACGGCCTCCAGTGCTGCACTGCCTTTGCTAGTCCAATCAGTTCCCGTTCGTAGGCGGGTAGCTTAAGGTGGCGGTCGGCCAGTTTGTGGCTGAAGAAAGCGACTGGATGTCCTTGTTGCTGTAGTATGGCGCCGATGCCAGTGCCGGATGCATCGCATTCCACCGTGAACTCGAGATCAAAGTTTGGCAACTGTAGAACCGACGTGGAGGAGAGGGCTTCCCTTAAACTCACAAAGGCTGCATCGGATGAACTATCCCAGAGGAAGGCATTCTTCTTGAACTATCCAGTGCTGCATTGCCTTTGCTAGTCCAATCAGTTCCCGTTCATAGGCGGGTAGCTTAAGGTGGCGGTCGGCCAGTTTGCGGTTGAAGAAAGCGACTGGATGTCCTTGCTGCTGTAGTATGGCGCCGATGCCGGTGCCGGATGCATCGCATTCCACCGTGAACTCGAGATCAAAGTTTGGCAAATGTAGAACTGACGTGGAGGAGAGGGCTTCCCTTAAACTCACAAAGGCTGCATCGGATGAACTATCCCAGAGGAAGGCATTCTTCTTGAGCAAATTAGTTAGTGGAGCCGCCAAAAGTCCGTAATTTTGTACGAACTTGCGGTAGTAGCCTATCAGCCCTAGGAACCCGCGGAGAGCCTTGGCAGATTGCGGTCTGGGTCATTCTCTGATTGCTTGAATCTTGGAGTCATCCACAGTGAGTCCTTGCCCGCTGATCACATGTCCTAAGTAAAGGACCCGACATTCCCCAAAGGAGCATTTGGATCGCTTAAGGAAGAGATGGTGTTGTTGCAGGAGTTCAAGAACGATCCGTAGGTGCTGCACATGTTCTACCCACGATTTGCTGTAGACTAGGATGTCATCAAAGAACACCAAGACGAATCTGCGGAGGTGGGAGTGGAATACCTCGTTCATCAGGGCCTGGAACGTGGAAGGAGCGTTGCTGAGGCCGAATGGCATAACCAGGAATTCGAAATGGCCATGATGTGTTCTGAAGGCCGTTTTCTCTACATCTTCGGAAGTCATTCGGACTTGGAAGTAACCTGACCGGAGGTCTAGTTTTGAGAAGTATTGTGCGCCATGGAGCTCATCCAATAGTTCGTCTATGATGGGGATAGGAAATTTGTCCTTGACCGTCCGACTGTTAAGTTCTCTGTAGTCTACACAAAATCTCCAAGTCCCATCTTGCTTGGGTACCAACAGAACCGGAGAGGAGAAGGGGGAGCGGATGGGTCGGATGATCCCCTGCCGTAACATGTCCGCGCACTGCCTTTCTATTTCATCCTTCTGTCGATGGGGGGTAATGGTAGGGTCGAACAACGACGGGATCCGATCCGGATATCAGAGGGATCCGATGATCATAGTCTCTGGAAGGTGGGAGCCCCTTGGGTTCTTTGAATACTGTAGAGAACTCCGTGAGGAGCCTCTCCATATCTGTTGCGCGTGAGTCCTCACCTTGGAGTGTGTGCAACTGCATTTTTGTTCTTATTCTGGTTCCCTGCCATGTCACCGGTTTCCCATCCAGGCGGAAAGTCATTGTTAGGGCGCTGAAATCCCATAGGATGGGCCCCAAAGTGATTAGCCATTTGACTCCCAGAACGATGTCAAATTCATCCAAGGAGAGTACAAATAAGTCAGTCCGAAAGGTTTCTGCTCCAACCTGAATTTTGGTGTCTTTGCAGAAACCGGGGCTGTGAACTCTTTCCCCGTTGGCCACGGCTACCTGTAACTGCGCCTGATTTCCATCGGTAATTCTAACCGACGGGCAGCCTGTTCACTGACGAAGTTGTGGGTGCTTCCGGAGTCTACGAGAATACGAACTGGTTGCCCTGCTATCCGCGCCCTTAGTTGCATGGTTTGGGAAGTTTTGATCCCTGTGATGGCGTGGAGGGAGATCTCTGGTTCTGATGCTGCAGGTTCATCCTCGTCCTCTTCGGGTTCTTCTACCAGAAGACAGAATAGCTTCTTGCACCTGTGCCCAGCGGAGTACTGATCATCGCAGTTGAAGCACTGCCCTCTTGTGCGCCGTTCTGCCATCTCGGCTCGGGTCAGCCGTCTAATGGGGGGTGCTGTCCTACTACTTCTTACACTTGCTGCCGATCTAGAGGGGTTACCAGCAGGAGGCCTTGGTTCCCCGCTGGCTGTCGAAGAAGGAGGCACCCCTGCTGTCTTTGAAGGTGCCCAGGTTGTTGCCGATCATCCTATACTGAGGTTTCCGTGGGAGAGCTGCATTTTCCTTTCGAAGGCGTGCGCGAGGTTCATCGCTGTGGCCAGGTTAGGAGGGTGTTGCATCTCTACGTCCACTCTCAGAGTTTCTACTAGCCCTGCTGTAAACATATCTACCTGCTGATCTGCGCGAACCGAGGTTGCTCTGGCGAGAAGGTTTGGAACTGGCATTGGTACTCTGCCACGGTTCCGGTTTACTTGAGATTGATCAACTCGCCCAGCGGGTTTCTTGTCAGCGGGGGTTCAAACCTGAGGAGACGATATGATTTGAACTGCCCCCAGCTGAGACCGGGTTCTTCTTGCTCCAGTCTGTAGAACCAGAGCTGCGCCTCTTCTGATAGGTGGAAGGCGGCCAGACTGACTTTATCCTTGTCATCAGTTCGCTGGTTACGGAAGAACAGTTCGCAGCATTACAGCCATCCTAACGGGTCTCCGGTGCCGTTGTAAGATGGGAATTCCAGCCGGCTATACTTGGGAATAACAGCGGCTGTCGGGGCAGCGATCTGCTGTTCGCTGGACGTCTCTGCCCAGTCCGGACGGCGGCTGTTGGTGGTGGCAGTTCCTTCAGAACTTCTTTCTTTGTTGGAGAGGAACGTTTCCAGCAGTCGTCGCAGCTCCCGGACATCATCCTTGACTTCACGAACCTCCATGCTGGTTTCAGCGAGCCTATGCTCCAGCTAGTGGACCCTGGAAGACAGCGGCTCCTGTTCCCTCATGACGGTAGGCTCTGATACCAGAATGTTATGGGCCCGGGTGTAGGATCTCGCCACGGGTCGGTGCACAGGGAGAACCTCTTGCTTCCCCTTGCGCCTTCCCTTACGTGCAGACCCTATTGTGGAAAACCGAATGGGTGATTTGTCCAAGAGACCACCCGAACTCTCCTCACTCTTCTCTTATTGGAAAACTGAATGCTTTATTCCAATTCATAGGCTCCTTAAATAGGAGATTACAAGAGGGGGTTCCTTGATGTATTCGGCTAGGCTAGGATAATCCCTCTCTAAATCAAACTCAAACTCCTGCTTCTAATGGTAAACAAACTCCTACTTCTAGTGTCAAACAAAACTCTTAAGAACATAAGATAAGATAAGGATAAGGGATAATGTAAGCTGGTGGCGAGTTGGCGAACAGAGCTGTTGTGGCAAGATAAGTGTGGGTCCCCTGATGAGCTGTCGTGTGGGCCCGCTCCTTACTGCTGCTGCCTGTGGCGGCGGTAAACCTTCCCCACGAATGCATCCATATCAGAAGGAGGATGGGGCTGTATAAAGACTTTTTTACATCATGTTACATCCTCTCATGTACACTTATTTCTTTCTCTGCTCAAGCATGAGCGAGATGCCTTATCCCCAAAAGGTGGGAAAAGAGGAAATTTGAAGGGAAGAAACCTGTAGATTTTTTTTTTTTTCATGAATGGAAGAAACCTGTAGATTGCCTAATAATTAGCAAACTATGTAGGTAAGTTCTTTCTTTTTAAGTTCAGAGAAGATTGTATTGTTGACAAGTCATCCATATATTAAAAAACTAGACCTGTGACTTGGCAGCAACCAGGTTTATTTGTTCTAAAAGTAGAAACAGCACATGCTTTTTTCCTAAGAAAGGTGAAACCTGGTATGGTATGAATACTTCTGTGAATTGATTTTGAATACATGTCCATTATCCACCAGTTTGTGTAGCAAGAGTTGAACATTCTAGAAGTTGACAAGGTAATAAACCTGCCTTTTATATATATTTTCTCTCTTTTGCAGTGGACAAAGTAGAGACCCTGAAGCGCTACAAATTTAGCTTGGCTTTTGAGAATTCTAACGAGGAGGATTATGTGACGGAGAAATTTTTCCAATCTTTGGTTGCTGGTATGAAAACTAAACATTTCCCCCAATTCCTAACCAAAAGGCAAGAAAGGAAAAAAGGAAAAGAAATCTTATTGCTCGGTTATCTTGTAGATTTTGGATGGCCAAAGTATTTATATTGCATATACTGGGATTTGAAACAGTTTTTATTTCTATTTTTATTTTTTATATATGTGCATCAATTTCTGTTTTGAAATGCTTGAGGATAAATGCATTATCTAGTAGTTTTATTCGAGTACACACATAATGTTGATTTCGTAAAATAACCTGTAGGCACTGTCCCCGTGGTTGTTGGTGCTCCAAATATTGAAGAGTTTGCACCTTCTACTGGCTCAATTTTACATATTAAGGAGTTGAGCAATGTCCCTTCTGTTGCCAAGGCCATGAAATACCTGGCAGAAAATCCTGATGCATATAATCAATCATTAAGGTGAGACGTTTTCACATTTTCATTCACTAGTACTGAATTACTAAGGAAAATGCTTACCAATTTACTATGTTGTTGAGCTATTCCATATTATCCTTCATTTTGGGTTGTCTTGTATATATCATGTTTGACAAGGTGGTGTTCATTGTGTAGGTGGAAATACGATGGTCCATCTGATTCCTTCAAGGCTCTAGTAGATATGGCTGCAGTTCACTCATCCTGCCGTCTTTGCATTCACCTTGCAACAAAAATCCAGGAAAGTGAGGAAAAGAATCCACAATTTCAGAAACGTCCATGTAAGTGCACCAGAGGTTCTGAAACCGTCTATCATCTATATGTAAGAGAAAGAGGGAGGTTCAAAATGGATTCTATTTTTTTGAGGTAATCTCATAACAAGCTGGATGTTCCTCCAGATTTTTTTTGTACTTCTATTTTGTTCTTGAATGATTTTGTTCGGTTTTAATTTTCTTGTATGTATGCTCCCTTCTCAAGTCTTGAGTAATCTTACACAGTTAAACTGTAAGAAGAAACTTGTTTTTCTAGATGGCATTGTTACATAGAACTGCAAGTAAAATGAGTTTTTACAAATTAATTTTGCCCATTTTGGTTGGCCTCCCACTACTTCGGTTAAAACTTCAATGTATCCAGAAGCTGGCAATCCAGTGATGTACTGCACTACCTTTTATAGATATTGGGTACATTTCCATCATGTCCTAGGCAAACAATGTTGTTGCCTTTTTTCAGTTTGATTGGTAGTAATACCCTGGATGAAATTTTAAATTGTGAAATGGTATTCATTACTAAATTTGTTGTGCAGGTCCAACAATTTGACCCAGGGTGCTTTGGAATATGCAATTCTCAAAAAATTCAAGTCCCTGAATCATGTACCCATCTGGAAACAGGAAAGACCTGAAAGCATTAGAGGGGATGAACTTAAAATTTATAGAATCTATCCTGTTGGGATGACCCAGAGGAAAGCTTTGTACACCTTCAAATTCAAGGGGGACTCTGATCTTAGGAAATATGTGAAAAGCAATCCATGTGCGAAATTTGAAGTCATATTCGTGTAGGGAGAGCCCTCGGTTGTCTGGCGTCAATACACTGTCTCCTGTATTATATTCTATCATGAAACACTCTTGCTTCCTCGGAGGAAAGTTTTGCAGGGTCGTTAGGCCATAGGGTTTGGTGTTCTCCTGCTTCTTCCTCTTTGTAATCATTGTCTTCAGGATTCCGTTTTTCTTTTCTTTTTTTTTTTTTTTTGGGGGGGGGGGGGGCGGGTAAATCGTCTTCAGGATGATCATTGAACACGTAGATATATAATGAAGAAAATGACTATTCATTGTTATGGCTTATGTAAGGTAGCTTATTTTAAGGTGTTTATTGTGCGGTTTATTCAGGTGTTCTAAAGCGTGAATGTTTAGAACTGCCACATCAGTAAAAGAAACATGTTCTTGTATGTGTTTTTGTTTTGAGTAGCAAAAACAAGTTTTTTGTTACATTAAACAAATCACATTTTTTAAACCATAAAGGTGATGGTCTTTTAAATAAAAACAAATTTTGGAGTACAGATATTGTATAATTCATGAAAGATAGGGAGAGATTATTAGTTGAAACCAGTATTTTTAAACCAGGAATTTAAGAGCACGTTTTTTGTTTCATTTTTAGGATATATACAACCAAGAACCATGTTTTATGAACCAATTTGCTGGAAAACTCAGAACAAGAAGTCAAGAATCATGATTGTTTGAAAATAAAAACTTATGCAAGGAAAAGATGTGAACCTATTTATCAATAAGAGGAAAAGATTCATAAGGCCAAGTTTCTAATTTTCTATCTACCCTTGAAAGGTCCCGGAGGAGTGCGAGTGCAGCAAGCTGTGGCTGCCACATTCTGCCACTTTATTGTATCTTTTTGTGATCGACAGGCATGTGGAACTAGCATTTCACTCAAATGAAACTAAAGCAAAACAAAATCTATGTATTTTCAAGTGATCCTTAAAATTACTTATGAAATGTTTTCATGGTTCGGAAAATGTTCAATTCTTTTTTTTTTTTTTTTTTTCCTTTATGGCTAAGAAGTGTTCAATTCATTTTAGTAAACTGTATAAAACCTACCACTTAAAATATGTTTCTCGTGTTTACCTAATTAATGGCCATCTGAGATTTGGATTTAGTTTTATTGATATATTATTCGAGATTTATGTAAGGTTTTCTTGTATGTCTATATGTGTCTTAATTTTTCCACTATATCCATATCACCCGAAGTGTATGAGTGTTTTCAACCCGTCAGTGACGGGACTGGTTGAATCATTCAACCTACAACCCAAGTCATGATTCTGATCTGGGTTAACCTAAAACTCAAAATTTCATAAAAAACCATTGATTTGATAACAACCCACTAACCGTGGTGGTTGAACCATTGACCTGCTTGGCTCAGTCAGTAGGTTACAGGTTACAGACTACAAGGAATTTTCATACGACCAAGGTTCAAAGTATTGACATGTATTGGCTTGTATCGGTTGATACGTGATTGAGTGCGATCTGGCTGCTCTCAACTGGAGGTGATTTGGTTTCCAAACGGACGGCAGATTGAACCTGCAAGGATATTAGAGAACCCCGGGATGCTAACCCGACGAGGTCGCTCTGATGCTTAAGTCAGTAGGCTAGTAGCGAGCTAAAATTGCTTGAAAATGAGAGAGCTTGAGAGTAGGAAATCATGCATACCTTGCACCCTTAGGGGGTGAAGCCTTTATATAGTGGAGTCCTCGCGGGTTTCGCGGAGTGGTTCTGGGATCCTCGACACGATGAGATCCGTTTCCGCGATAATGGGGATAACTGATGGGGCTTATCGAGTCCGCCCGAATCGGTTGGGGGAGATAACGCTAGCTGTTATGCGGCGTGATCCCGCGAGGCCCGGAATCTAATGGCGAGATCTTCGGGGTTGCCACGTAGTGGTCTGTTAATATTACCTGAGCTACCGCTCTTTAGATCCGGCCTGGGGCGAACGCCGAAGTGCCTTGGGATCGAAGTGGTCTTGATCCGACCTTACACCGAGGTGAACTCGTCCCGAGGTGGTTTGATTATCCGAGCTCGATCTGTTGCGGACTTGGCATGTCGGGCTGAGCTGTCATCTTACTAGTTAGGTCGCGTCCACGTGTCCCCCTGTTACTAGGTCGGGCCAAATCGCCATTCATCAATACGTATTGTGTCAATGGCTTTCCGATACGCCCCTACAGGGGTTGTATTGGGTCAGACCATGATTCAGAAAGTAGCCAGGATTTAAACCGATTCCTCTGAACCGGTTTTGAAAAAAAAAAAATAAAACATAAAAAAACACTAATACTTTGAACCTTGCATAGGACATGATTTTTTCTTGGTGGTTAGTTTTTTTTTTTTTTTTTTTTTTTTTTTTTTAATTTTGGATAACATTTTGTGATTTGTGTGATGCAAGGCATTGAAAGGTGCTCCATCCCACTAATTTTGCAAAAAAAAGTATGTTTTGGCTTCAAACCTCAATTTTTAGTTTTCTTAATTTACAAAAATAAATCATAACTAAGATAGAATTTAGTTAGACCTAAAATAAAACATATATACATATAAAATATAATATATTCTTAATGTGTATATACATTATGGGTCAATCCATTCGAGTGGAAAGTTGAACTACTGACGGGCAACCTGAAAGGAAAAATGGATCAAGATCGGTTTTTGAATTACCGGTGAATTCTGATATATCTTTTAAAATTACCTTCCGATATTCTATGTTTATAATACTCTGGACCTTGCTTTGATGCTTATTTCTTAAATGGTATTTTATTTTCTCTTTGGAACAGAAGGTAGAACTTCATTTTTCATGGCAGTTGGCACTTGGCAGGATCTATTATTAAGTTTTGTAAGGCAAATGGGAGTCCTACCAAAGCTCATTATCCAGTATTGATCCAGCTGGAATCTAGAGTCTTCAGAGACTCAGGATCTCCTGCCCACGAGAACTCTGCCCACGCCTACCCACAATACACTACCCCCCATGAATTGGGAACATCTCCCTTGTATAATACTATGCAGAGGATGAGATGTTCTCCATGTATGGCTGTGATAAATGTGGGCAGAGTTCTCATGGGCAGGAGATCCAGACTCGTCTTTAGAGGGATGGACTAGATATTGACTTAAGTTTTAATTTGTCATTCCTCTAAGTAAAAGTATACATCCTTTTATTAAAAATAATGACACGAGGGAATTAGTTGTCTACTGATTTGTTATGGTTGATTTTCTATTCATTTAAAGGTTCTTTTCTCTTCTAAGTTTGTTTTATTTTTTTTCAAATTCATTGTTGTAAGCTGGCGGTTAGAATGGTCTAGGTTCTAAAGTTGAGAAGAAGAATGGTGAAGAGAAAGATTAGGGATAGAAACAAGATATTTTTATTGAGGGAGGGGGAACTTGTATTAGGGTTGCAAATGGATAGGATGGAATTGGAGTACCTAGATTCAAATCAATATTTGTTTTTATTTAGCTTTTATAATCTTATAGATGAGATTTGGATATTGAATGCCATAAATAAATGAAATTAATAAATAAGATCAAAATATCATAAATAAACTAAAATGACTTTGATGTTATATATCATGAATAAAATGATAAATTGAAAATAACTTCATTGACACTTGAGCTTATGACTCCTTAGCAAACATACATACTGATATATAACTTATTGGATAGGGATAGGGGTGGATCCATATTCAACTAATTAATCCAATTATATAATCAGATTGAACTTACTGATTTTGAATTCCAAACTAGCCATTTGTAGCCCTATCTTACATAAACCTTAAAAACTTGATGGGTTCAGTCTGTTGGATTTGAGGTAGTATACATACGCCAAAGACCAACAAACTAGCTCTAGCTTCCATCTTCTCCTCAATGACTAATTAAGGATATATGTCCTTTTTTTTTTAAGAAAAAACCCCAAACTTTACTCCAGGTGGAGGGGCGACCACCTTAAAATTTTATTAATCAATATCAAATATAAAAAGATATTACAGGGGAGGACATAGCCCGCCTTGCCCCAAACCCAAGATAATCTCTCAGCCCAGCCCAAAAGGAAAATACAAATAAGATTATCTAATTCTTAAATTGGGCAGACCTATAAGATCTTCAAAAATTAACTTTCTTACCTGATCTGGGGTATGTGAAATGGCGTTGAAATTAGTGAATGCTTCCAGCAACCCGCCCATTTTAGCTAAGCAATCTACTGGTCTATTCGCTTCACGGTACACTTGTTTTAAGGAGAAGTTACAAAAGTCAAGAAGCCTTTTAATTTCTACTACACAGTAATATGAATACTCCATGGGATAACAAATGAATTGAAAAGGCTTACCACTGTAGAGTTATCACATTCAATCTCAATATTAAGATAACCATGATTAATGCAAGTCTTGACTCCATCCCGAAGCGCCTTTATTTCTGCTTGAAGGGAGGTGCATAAACCATAAGGGCTTGCGAAAGCTTTGATAAATCTGCCTTCCTCATCATGAATCAGACCTTCCCACTTCCTATACCTGGGTTTCCTCGACAAGCCCCATCAGTATTTAGTTTAACCTTTCCATGTGCAGGAGCTTGCCACGTTACCCATTTGTACAGTTTTGGTTTGATGGGCTTGGGGGGATTGGGATACCAGTTCTCCACCAATCATTTACGCCTTCAGTATTGGGTAATGAGATAACTTTATTAATTTCAACCAACCGGTTTATGATACGTTGGATTATCTGGCTTGCAGGGATAAACTTACCATCATAGATTATTCTACATCTTTCCACCCAGATTTCCCAAACGATCACCGAAGGTAGCACCCTAAGAACTTGGTTACGATGGGAGTTAGTGTTGCAAATACTCCACCAATCTAGGATACGATCTCTGATGTGTTGCGTGGAGTGAATAGGAATGCCAAATTTTCCTGCAAAAAACTTCTCGCATTTTGTAGCTAAGATTCCATTTGAAAAAAGGTGATCAAATGATTCTTCATTAGCATCTCTACAACACTTACATTTAGAGGCTAGCATTATCCCTTTTTGTTTGATAGCAATGTCCACTGGGATTGCTTTATTAATAAAGTGCCACATAAACATGGAGATCTTGGTGGGAATACCTGAATTTCAAACATTCCTTGACCAATTTACTTGAGTACCCTGTGGTCAGATGAGATTCCAAGCTGATCCAACTGTGAAATTTCCACTAGTCCAAATTATCCTGTCATTTGTT